CTTTAACTCAACTAAAGAAGAAAGCAAAATCGGGCTATATAGCTTTAGAATCGTTCGCAAAGGGAGAAATAAAAAGATTAATGCTTGAGAAGCGCTCGATCAAGCAACAAGAGGTGGTTGAAAATAAGGGAGGAGTGGCAATTTATAGGGCTGGACTGCCCTCTGGCCGTTACCGAGCATGTCTGCGTCGAAACTAGTGAGGGCTGTTTCAGGAGCCCTTGCTGGTACTGGTTGGGAGGTGGCCGGTACCAAGTACCATCGCCAAGTTATTCGGTACTGATCATTACAAATTACCTGAATGCCCTTTTTACTTATTTTTAGGGTTTTTGAGCTTTTAGGAGTTCATTCAAGGCCAAACAACATACGATCGAACTGATTCTCACTTTGTTAGAACCGTAATGGAATTTCCTAGGACTTGGTGCTGAAATCATGGTCAACAGTTTGTCCCCTCTGGACGATTAAAGCTGATCTTGTCCGAGCTTATGGATCCCGATTTTAGCTTGTCTGCTTAGAATTCTAGCCAATTGTTTGGCCCCTCTAGGCGATCGAAGCTAATCTTGGTGAGAGCTTATGAACCCCGATTTCTCCTTGTCTGCTTGGAATTCTAGTTGGAGAACCATACCTTGTAGATTGTGGTGATTTCTGAAACATCCTATTAAAATCTGATCTGATTCTCAGAACATTTTTCCCAAATCGGTCTGATTTGGCTGATTTTCTAGGTCTTTTCTGTAAAATTTTGTCAGCAAAGAGGATAAAAATTTGTTTGGAAATCTATTAGGGTCGCATAAGTTGAAAACTGTACGAGATTTTGAGTCTGGATGGGTCTCGAAAAGTCTAATGCTCCAAGCTAGGGTGAGCTTCATCCTCCCCTATTTCCTATAAATAGGGGTGGTGGAGCCTTATTTGCTCACACCACTCACTTACTCTCTTCTTACTTCTTTCTTTCTCTTAGAAAGTTGTTTTCTCACTAAAACTCTGCTAAAATGAATCCTCAATCACTAATGCCTTCCTATTCCCCGCTCAGCGAGTTAAGCAAAGTGGGTATACCTCTCCCACCTATCCGGTGTCTAGGCATGGCGACCGTGAGCACTTTCCTCCTCCACCCTTGGCGCTAGTGCCTAGTTAGAGGGCAGTCGCTCCTCTTATGCTGAATCTGCTATTCGAGAGCATGTAACATGTTAGATATATTATGGCGCATGGCCGTGTTATCCTTGTTTTTTTTTTTTTTAATGTTACCATCATGTTCTGTGATATGTTATTCGGTAACTGGATGAGCATTACTTAATAATTTTTATCATACTTTGAATGTGTTATTGCTCTGGTGGCTTTATAATTTACTTGAGTTGTTATTTAGAGTGTTTTTTTATTGTTTTGTGGAGCGTGATTTAGGAGTTCATTCAAGGCAAACACATATCGATCAGAAACTGATTCCTCACTTGTTAGAACCGTAATGGAATATCCTAAGATTGGTGCTGAAACTCACTTTGGTTCTATTATATTGATTATTGCCAGTTTTTGTATATTTTCCCCTATTCTATGGACTGTTTAGATTAAATGTAACTGTATATTTGCATATTTTTCTTCGATTGCTTGGTTTAATCTGGTTTAGCATGTTACCTGTTGTATTATTAGTTGTAGCATTGTTGGTCATGGTTTAGTTATATTTTATTTTTATCTAGCATAGCCGATAATTTGTTTGGTTTGATTATGTTAGAGTTTTTTAGTTGAGTGTTGTTTGTCCGCTCATTTGGGGATTAGGTCCTCTAGGCGATTGCGAGTAGAGCTATGAGTACTGGTTGGTGAGAGCTTTTATTTTTGATTATTTTTTCCTTTTCTCTTTTTTTTGCAGTGGTTCTTTTTGTTGTTCTGTTCTATAATTGTTTTGTCTGCTTGGAATTTAATTCAGGTTGATTTATTTTGAGATAATCTACCTTTTATAATTCCTTTTAGTTGAGATAATTGTGGTTGATTATTGTGTTGAGGATTAGACATGTCCTATAATTTATAGATTCTGATCTGAGTTTCTCAAGAATCGAAAGGGGTTTTCCCAAATTCGGATCTGATATTTGGGGTCTGATTTTTTCTAGTCTTATATTCTCGGTTTTAAATAATTTTGGTGTGCAGGAGCAACATGATTGAGAATTGAGAAGTCAATTTTTTTGTTGATTGTGATTATATCTGTTTTTTTTGTAGGGTGATCGGCATTAATAGTTTGTAATGAAACTGGGACGGTGGTAAGAATGTTTGAGTCTGGATGGGTCTCGACCTTTATATTAGATCTTGAATGTTGCGGATCACGATAGCGTAGTGGTGAGCTATTACATCCTCCTCCGTATACCTCTTTTTTGGTCTTCCTATAAGTATTAGGGAGGTGGGTATGTGGGATGTTGCGCTGTTATGTATTGCTCACTGACTCATGTTACTCATCGTTTACTTCTATTTACTCTATTACTTCTTTTCTTTTCTCTTAGAAAGTGTTTTCGCTCCTATAATTATCTCTGCTAAATATGTTGAATGGGATTCTTCATGTTCGACGTGAATTGCCTATTACTCTTATTTCTCTCTGCTGGGCAGTTTCAGGCGAATGTATTAGTTACATGTCAAATATGTGATGGTGATTATTTTGTGCTCTCTTCTATCTTCTTATGTTCTGCTCGTTGTCTAGCAGCCATGTTGCACGATCTATTGATCGTTAGATAATTTTTATTTGGGCAATGTCACTATTTTCCTCTCTTCTTCAATCCCATTTGAGCGCTAATGTTGCCTAGTTAGAGGTGTCAGTCGCTCACTCTTTTTGCTGCAATCTTACTTTGCTATTGGGACCGAGAGCATGTAACGGCAATTTTTGTTTAGTTAATTATATTTGTGCGCATTATATTTTTCCTATAGTGCATATTCCGTGTAATATCACTGATTTTTCTTTTCTCTATGTGGTTTTATGTTTTGCCTTCTCGACTAAAAATTATGGTCTTTCGTAACATGTTAGATATATTATGGCGCATGGCACGGTTACCTATCCTCTTCTGCAAAATCTTCCGGACCACTGGCATGAGTATCTTGAGGGTGTGCCAGTATAATTCTTGCTTTGTATGTGATTTTCTAACTTGTCTAATTATGTCCAATATGTAGCCTCCTCCGTGCTGGTACGAGGGTGTGATAGCCCTAGTGGGTCAGCTCCGAGGGGCACTATCTGAAGCCTTGACTCGTGAGAGCTTCTCGAGAGACCAAGTCGATTCGAGATGAGCTTAGACGCCACTGATACTTGTAGCCTATTGCCCTGCTACTTTTATTTTTCTGCTTTTTAGAGTAGGCTTTTAGTTTTGGTTCTGGTGGTCTATGTACCATCCTTTTAGCACTTTTTAGGCTGATACCGCCTTAGCTGTGATATCTTCTTTTGTTAAACTTAGCCATTTTCATTTATCAGATTATTGGATTTTATTTCTACATCTTTGATTCATTTGTTCTCCTTTAGTCTGCACTGAATGCCTGAATTTCTGATTCTGCACTAATTGACTGAATTGAAATTGCACTAATTGCCTATTTCTGATTTTGACACTGATTGCCCTGATGTTTGCACTGATTGCCTTTTTTTTAAAAAAAATCTTCCACTGATTTTCCTGTTTCAATTGTGGTTGCACTGACTGCCTGATTCTTTTATGAATGCACTTATCGCCTAAATTAAAGTTGCGTTGATTTCATGTTTCTAATTTTGACATTTGCTTGTTCCAATGTTTACACTGATTGCATTGATTCTTTTCTGAATGCACTGATTGCTTGAATTGAACTTGCACTAATTGCTTGTTTCTGATTTGGATACTAACTGCCCTGATTTGGAAATTCTGATTTATTAATGGATTCCTCACCCTCCAAGAAGCATCCCCCAATAGGTCGAAAAAATGGAATCTAGAGTCTCATAATGTTGTTCAATGGTGTTGATCCCAACACTAGTGCCTTCTTTTATTGATTACATCGAATATATCTTGTTTTCTTATTGTTTACTCATTTACTTGTTGCTTTAAGTTCAAATAGTTTAGATTCCACAAATTCTTCAATTAATTTCTAGACGATACATCTTGATTTCAAAGCTAATACTCAGTCCCCTTATCCTTGAGGACAATATCTTTATATATACTACTTGCACGATCGATACACTTGTGGAATTGCTAACAAGTTTTTGGCGCCATTACTAAGGATATGTGCTTTGGTGTTGATATTAGTGAATAGATTCATAGTGTTGATTTAGATACTCTGTTTTTACTTTTATACTTTTATTTCATTACAATTGTTATACTCAGTTTTCTTATGTTCTACTAACCTTGTATGCCCAGGTCTAGAAGTTTATACTTTTATTTCATTACAATTGTTATACTCAGTTTTCTTATGTTCTACTAACCTTGTATGCCCAGGTCTAGAAGTTAGGATTGGCTTTCTATAGATCCTGAGAGTGAGAGAATAGCAAGGACCTTGAGGAGAAAAAATCCTAGATATTAACGAAGGAGGAGAAGCCCTTCTCCTAGAAGAAGAGTTTCGATTGATCCCCAAGTTGAAATTCTAGAGGACAATATTGAGCGACAAGTGTTTGTGGAAGAACAAGAATAGGTTCCTATTTTTGAAGGAGTTCCACCAATGGGAGATAATCGGAGGTTAGTAGACTTGGCTGTACCTACCATCAAAGGGATATGCCCATCGATTGTGCAACCAACAATAATAACCAATAACTATGAATTGAAGACCTTATTGATCGATTTGCTATAAAACATTCAGTTTGGAGGTTTGTCATATAAAGATCACAATGTTCATATAGCGACCTTCAATGTGATATGTGACACAGTGAGGATCAACGGGATGTTCGAAGAGGCAAAGAAGTTAAGGCTGTTTACTTTTTCACTCTGTGATAGCACCAAGGCTTGGTCACACTTAATGTCGGTGGGATCTTTCAAGACATAGGATGAGCTCTATGTAACATTTTTGAAGAAGTACTTCCCCCTAGTAAGACTTAGAAGCTTAAAATGGAGATAGCCACATTTAAGCAAAAATCAGATGAAAGTCTCTTTGAGGCTTGGGAGAGATACCGAGACATCGAAAGGTAGTGTCCTCATCACAGTTGGGATATACACTTTCTTATCCACCAATTTTTCGAAGGGTCTCTACTGAGTGTTCAAAGTGCTATTCATGTGGCAGTCGGAGGTTCTTTCTTCGAGAAGACCATTGATTAAGGCTTCAGATTAGTGGAGAAAACGGCTAATAATAGCCAAAGATGTGGGGGAGAGCCAAATCTAGTTAAGAAGACTCCAGGAATGTTAAAGGTTTATGGAATTACTTTGCTTACAAATAAATTTGATGCATTGGTTAAGAAACTTGATAGTATTCAGCAAGTTAACATGGCTTTTTCAACATATGGTATTTGTGGAGGAGTTGACCATGAAAATTCTGAATGTATGTTTGTGGCTCAACCGATGAGCGGAGAAGTTATGGAAGATGTGAATTATGTGCAGAACCAGTACCAACAAAAGCAATTTGGGTATCAATTCCTTAACAATTTTGGGAAAATTGGAAGAATCCCCATTCGAACTTCAGCTAAAGCAACCAATCCAGCACACTTCAGCCACCATAACCTCGACCACCACCACCGGGTTTTCAATAACCAAGACCACCTCAACCACCGAACCAACCTTTCCTAAACTCCTAACTTGCTTAATCAAATGCTAACTTAAATCTAGAGCAATACATAGCTCTATAAGAGAAAGTAACTGAATAAGTCAATAATAGATTTGAGCAAATGCTCACCCACCTAAGTTCTAAGATAGACCAACTAGCCTCTCATCAAAGAGTACTTGAAAACCAAATGGCACAACAAGCTAGGTCCTCAAGCCAAAAAGCCCAAGGGAAGTTGTTAAGTCAAACTCTTGAGAATCTAAGGAAGCATTGCAATGTAATAACTTTTAAAAGTGGAAACACCTATGAGCAACCCATCAACCTCCCCAAACTTTAAGGGAAAGAAGTTGAGATTGTGGATTTAGAGTAAGAGAAGCAGACTAAATATGAAGTAGTAAGGGAAAAGATGAAAAAAGCCACTCCTCCACCACAAGTTGATGATGAGAAATACAAAGCTAAGGTTCTATTCCCCTAACGATTGAAGCAAACACAGCTTGACAAGCATTTTGGGAAATTCTTGGATCTCCTCAAATAGCTTTATGTGAATGTCCCTTTCACCAACGTGATTTCCCAAATGCCCACTTATGCGAAGTTTCTTAAAGATATTCCATCTTCTAAGAGGAAGTTGGTGGAGAATGAAATTGCGGCTTTACTGAAGAGTGTTGTGCCTTGATCTTGAATAAACTCCCTTCTAAACTCAATGATCCGGGTAGCTTTTTCTATTCTGCATGAAATTGGGGAAATGGAAATTCAGAAGGCTCTTTGTGACTTAGGGGCCAGTGTAAGCCTAATGCCTGTTTTGATCTTTAAAAAGTTGAACATCGAGGAATCAAAGCCCAAGACAGCGATTCTACAACTTGTAAATAGGTCCGTGAAGTATGCCTTGGTTGTAGTTGAGGATGAACCGGTAAAAGTTGGCAAGTTCTTTATATCGATAGACTTCATGGTTCTCGATATGGATGAAGACAGACACGTCCCTATTATATTGGGGAGGCCATTCCTAGCTACAACCGGAGCTGTCATAGATGTAAAACTGGAAAGCTTACGATGATGAAAAGCTGGTCTTTGATCTCTTTGAAATGGTGAAACACCCAGCCCAAGTTCACCAATGTTTTGAAAGTGATGTGGTTGATGAGCTAGTGGAGGAAATGATGAGTAAGGAGAAGTCTGATGATCCTTTTCACACTTGCTTAGTTGGATTAAAAGAGGACTTAGTTCAATGCAATGGAGCTTTAGAGATGCAAAACTATTTGGAAGCTAGAACCAATCTCCCCTGGTTTGAAACATAAAGTGGAAAAACTAAGAGACAAGGAGGAGGAAAGACCTGAACCTTCACCCTCAACCCTTAAAGAGGAGGATGCAGAAAAGTGGAGCTTAAGCAACTACCATCAAACCTCAGGTATGGATTTCTTGGCCCTAACTCTACTTATCCTGTTATTATTAATGCATTATTGAATGAGTTAGAGGAATAAAAGACCCTTAGGCTGTTGCGAGAACATAGAAGCATAATTGGGTATAATATCCATGATTTATGAGGCATTAGCTCCTTTATATGCATGAACAGAATCCTCTTTGAGGACAATGTTAAACTCTCCTAGAGAATCAAAGGAAATTGAACCCTAATATGAAAGAAGTGGTTAAAAAGGAAATACTTAAACTCCTTGATGCTAGGATTATCTATCCTATATTTAATAGTGAGTGGGTAAGTCCCATTCATGTGGTTCCTAAAAAAAGGGGGTGCTCTGGTAAAAAGGGACAATGACAAAGCCATTACTACTAGGGTAGTGACGGGATGGTGGATGTGCATTGACTATAGAAAACTTAATGCCGCCACTCATAAAGACCATTTCCCTTTACCTTATACTAACCAAATCTTAGAGAGATTAGAATGGCATGCATATTTTTGTTATTTAGGTTGTTTCTCTGGTTTTTATCATATATATATACATCCTAATGACCAAGAGAAAAAAAATTTACATGTCCCTATAGAATGTTTGCATTTCGAAAAGTGCCGTTTGGTTTTTATAATGCTCCTACCACTTGCCAACGATGCATGACCCTGATTTTCTCAGATCTTATTTAGGAAATTATGGAAGTATTCATGGGTGACTTTTCTATTTATGGAAAAATGTTTGATGGGTGTTTAAATAACCTTTCTAAAGTTTTGAAGCAATTTGATGAGGCAAACTTAGTGCTTAATTAGGGAAAGTGTCACTTCATGGTCCAAGAGGGGATTGTACTTGTTAATCTTATTTCAAAGAAGGGGGTACAAGCAGATTTAACGAAGATTAAAGTGATTCAAAAGATGCTACCTCTGACTTCAGTTAAGGAAATTCGAAGTTTTCTTGGCCATGCTGGCTTCTATAGGAGGTTCATTAAGGATTTCTCTAAGATCACTAAGCCTTTATGCAACCTTCTTATGAAGGATGCACCTTTTGATTTTGATAAGGATTACATGAGTGATTTTGTGACTCTTAAAGAATCTTTAATTTCCACTTCTATAGTTCAGCCCCTGGATTGGTCAAAACCCTTCGAGCTAATTTGTGATGCCAGCAACTATGCTCTTGGAGCTATGCTGGGACAAAGAAAGCATAACAAGCCTCATGTCATATACTACACCAGTAGGACTTTGGATGATGTCCAAGTGAATTATGCAACTAGTGAGAAAGAATTCTTGGCAATAGTATGGGCATTGGACAAATTTCGCCCCTATTTGGTTGGGTCTAAGGTAATAATCTACACCGATCATGTTGCCATCCGTTACCTTTGTGAACCCCTCCCCAAATATCAAAGGCATGCGAAATGCATGTGACTAAGGAAGAAATGCACGTGATGTGTGAGTCGCCACCTTGTTTAATTATTTCCCCTCCCCCAAATATCATAGCATATATGGATGCATGTGATTAAGGGCAGAAATGCACGTGAATGTATGAGTCGCCACCTTGTTTAATTATTTTAGGTTAAACTAGAAAAAACCCTAAGTGACTCCAATTTTAATTAACTTGAATGCTAGATTAATTAACCTAATGTTAAGGCATGGTCTACGAACCCGAGGTGGATCCCGAGACTATGTCATGTTGATGAAACTAACCATGAGTGAATGCTTTAGGGTAAATGATGCAATTGGACCAATAAAAAGTTTAAGTGATTTCGATTTGCCGCCCGGGGTTAAATCCCGAACGTGCCTACGTACTTCTGTTTGAATGGAAGATCAAAGTCAACGTAGTTCATAAGCCTTTTTAAAAGGGCTTTGAATGGATATGCTTTATGCATGAGTGTGTGTATGCTTTGTGCATTTTTGTTTAGGCATTTTGCCAAAGAGTTGATTGTGGTGCCAAAAGAGAATTGGGAATTTTTTCAGGCATTTGCCAAAAAGTGTTGATTGGAACTTATTTGTGTGCCAGTATTTGTGTGCCAAAAAAATGTTGATTGGACTTATTTGTTTGCCAAAAAATGAATTAAGGCTTTTAGCCAAAACATTTTGTGATTTAGGCAATTTAATTGCCGAAGAATTGATTTTAAAGGCTTTTAGCCAAAATGTGTTGATTTGAAAGCTTTTAGCAAAAACTGTCGATTTAGGCAAGATGTTACCAAAATTGATTGATGATTTATTTAGGCGACTGTCGCCAAAATTGAATGATTTAAGGCTTTAAAACCAAAAAGATTGATTTAGTTTTAAGGTATTTTGCCAAAACTTTGATTTAAGCGTTTTATTGCTAAAAAATAACTGATCTTACTTATTGGCAATTTGTTTACCAAAAGTAATTAATCAAACTGCAATTGTAGGCAATTTAATGCCAAAAGAACGTGATTAATTTAGGCTACTTAGTCGCAATTATTGATTAATTGGACTTAAGCCGAATTCATTTGAAATAAAGGCAATCATACCACAACTATTAATTAGCTAGGTATTTTAAGCCAATATTGTCGGATTTCAGCTTTTGGTACCACGATTATTAATTAACCGGGCACTTAGCTTAATCATATTTTAATTGAGGCAATTTACTTGCCTATATTATGATATGAATGCATTTATGCAGTTGTAGAATTATTAGGAGTAGAAGAGAAGCATGCATGAAGTGCTAAAATTAAATAGGCAAAGTTTAACTTACGGCGTAGTTTAGTTTGTGTACCTGATTTAATCTCCGACCGCTTCTTAACTCCAGGTTAAGCTCCTCGTTAAGGGAAATATTAATTAAAATGGAGTTTTAATGGCCACTTAACTTAATAAAGCAAGAAAAAACACGAAAGGCAGATAACAATAAAACATAAAATAAAGAATGCAGAAAGCGATAAAAGAACTCGCAAAGAGCGTAAGGGAGAAGAGAGGTATACATTCAACACAAGACTGTGTGTACTAAAATGGCGCCCGGGGCCTCTTTTTATAGAGAAAAACGCAACCCCGGGTCGCGCTGCCCCGCGCCCGAGGGCGGGCAAATTGCCGCCTGGCT